ACAATTGAAATTCAATCCTAATCCCAATCCCAAAAAATAATACGTGTATTCGATAATACCAAATATAGACAAATTCGGTAAGGTATTCGGTATATCCCAAATACTGGTACGAAACTTTCAACACTACTGCCAAACATCTTTAGAGACTGTGGCTACTGTGCTAAACACTACGATGCATGTGAAAGAATAGGGGCTATCTCCAGAAGGAATGAAATGATTCGAAATATATTTCAAGTTTTCAAAAAGTAAAAGTTTTTTTTTTTATGTTTGGGGCATAGACTTTATGGGAACCTTTTCCTTCGTCATTTGGAAACAAATACATGTTGCCATTGACTGCATATCCAAATGGGTGGAGGCTCAAGCATATCCAAACTGATGAACCTCCCGGCTTGAGTGTCGTTAGTGTCGGCCATCAAGCGTTATCAGTGTCGCAGTGTGGGGCATTGGGCTTTCAAACACGAATGACTAACATTCTGCTTTGGCTTTAAGCGCTGCTTTGTGGTAGGCAAAGTGGGAGCGGTTCAAGTGCAGAACCTTGTGGTCAATAACCATTCATAATCTGCCACATCACTATTTATTGGAGACCCCTAACAATTTTCCTTATAGATTTTGACGAGTTATATCTCTTTTATTTTACGTTGTAATTCAAATTTTTCCGCACAGATAAATTAGATAAATTGTGCTCTTTAAATTGATATACACTTTGCTATATTTTTGGAACAAAAAAAATTGAGACATTTAGTACCAATCTATACCATGGTGGTAATGCTTGGCACTAAATAAAATCATACGACGCCTTAGTGAAGTGTACTATGGTGGTATAAACATATACCAGAGTCAGAGTGTGTAATGGTTGAATATATGATAGTAGAATATACGAATTGTCATTTACCACATTGATCATTGTGTACAACGAGTTACCACCCCTACACCAGGGTGGTACAAAGTGTATCATGATGGTATGAACATACCAGAGTGTGTAATGGTTGAATATAGTAGGAATATACGAACTGTCATTTACCACATTGATTGTGTACCACCAGTTACCACCCCTACACCAGTGTGGTACAAAGTGGTACGTTTGTGCAAATCACCGTAACACAAAACAATTCAGAACCAAAGTCACAATTGCGGCCAGAAAACGGCGACTACTCTTCAGAAGAGCAAGGTGCGGTAGAGATGTAGACAATAGATACGGAGAGAAATCATTTTAGAGTGGAGAATGGTGTTCAAGATCTCAAACGTTTTGAAGATCTAAACCAGCTATTGAAGAAGCGTATTCTTGTCGTCATTTACAGGACTACAAATTTAATGGGCTAAGATCAGGTGACTGGGGGAGGGGGAGTCACATGACTAAGTGAATCTCAGCTCTTCCATCTCATTAAAATTTAATGGCTACAATTAATCTACTTTAATGAAGGGCAAAACTATAAGTGCATGATTATTTTTATTTTCAATTATTAAATAATTTTCCTGGCTCTTCTCTCCCTGCCGTCCGTCTCGTTTCTTTTTTTTTCCCCACCGGGCATGGAACTTTCCCGTCGGCCATCGTCGGCTAGGGAACTCCATCGCCAGTGTCGGCGGTCACTTTTGTTATGTGAATTTTTTTTCCCCAAGTTCAACCCGAGAGAGAGATTATTCAGGGAATTCTTTCCACCATTTCTATCGGGTGCAACGAGAGAGAGAGAGAGAGAGAGAGAGAGAGAGAGAGAGAGAGAGAGAGAGAGAGAGAGAGAGAGAGAGAGAGAGAGAGAGAGAGAGAGAGAGAGAGAGAGAGAGAGAGAGAGAGAGAGAGAGAGAGAGAGAGAGAGAGAGAGAGAGAGAGAGAGAGAGAGATTTTTCGGTGACAAGAAATTCCCGGCGGCGGCGAGAATTTTCGGCCGCGATATTTTTCCGACGATGGGGGATTTTTCGAAGACATCGGTAGTTTTGTAATGTTTGTCGTTTTATTTTGTAATGTTTGTAAGTCTGATTTGTAATGTTTACAGACAATTAGGTTTGTACTGTTTGTCATTTTTTTATATTATATTTGTAATGTTTATAAGACTATTTTGTACGGTTAGATGATTTGTACTATTTGTCCATTTTTTGTAATGTTTGTACGCTTTGTTATTTTGTAATGTTTGTCGGGTGCTTTTGTAATGTTTGTCAACTTTTTTATTTTTGTGCACCATGTTTATCATTTTCGTCAACCACGTTTGTAATGTTTTTATGTCTAAAAAACAACCTGGTTGACTTTTCGATGAAACTTCTCTATATAGGGATGGAGCCTTCAAAGTCAACCCGGGTGTTTTTTCCAGTTGTATGGATTGTCGGTCTAGTTTGTCATTTGTGTCCACAATGTTCGTAATGTTTGTATGTCTAAAAAACAACCGGGTTGACTTTGGGACGAAGCCCTCTATTAGAGGTGGCAATTGGATCGGATTCGTGGATTGGATTGGTGGATCCATGGATCAAATGGATTGGTTCCAATGGATTGGTGGATTCATGGATTGGATAAAATGGATTGATCCATGAATCCAAATGACATCCAAGGCTTGGACCAAAATGTAAATTTTGAAAAGTTTAGGTACTAAAATGTCATAATGAAAATTTTAAGTACCAAAATGTAATTTTTCAATGATATTTTCGTATAAAAATAAAAAATTTAGGTACCAAAATGTAAAATATAAAAAATATAGGTACCAAATCGTAATTTGCCATTTGGATCCATGGATTGATCCATGAATCCACCAATCCAATAGGATTTGGATCAAATGGATTGGATTAGGTGGATAATTTGGTGGATGGATTGGATTCATGGATTTGGATCCTAATTGCCACCTCTACCCTCTATATAGGGATGGAGCCTCTAAAGTCAACCCGGTTTTTTTTTTGTATGGTTTGTATTGTTTGTCGGTCTAGTTTGTATTGTTTGTACATTTCATACGTTTGTAATGTTTGTAAATCTGTTTGTATGTTTTGTCGTTGTAGTTTGTACTGTTTATATGTTTGTATGGTATGTACTGATTGTAAATCCGGTTTGTATATTTCGTAATTTTTCATAATACCCAAACTACGCCTGTCATTAATTAAATAGTCCTTCCCACTTTTTAACGTCAGATTACTGTGTCTAGATCTAAGGGCTGTGAGGGACTTAGTCAAGTGACTAAGCACCCCTTAGTCGTAGAATCCGCACTCCAAATTTAAGTATTTAACTATTTTGAGAATTGTAAAATCCACCAAATCACAAGGCCAATAACTAGATAAGAGGTGATTCATTGGAAGAGGTTTGAGAAGTGTCTGAAGAGGTTTGAGAAGTGGCTATTCATTTTAAATTTTCTAGATTTACTTGGCATTTTTTGTGTTGGAATTTCAAAATTTTGGAATGAAAGGAAGAAGAAATAGAGAGCAGAAAAGAGAAGAGCAAGAATACGGAGGAGATAAGAAGAAGATGAACGTGTGGAGGAAATCACTCCTCCCCTTTTGCCTGTCAATTTACTTTATCTTGTGGGCTCAAACATATGATAAACCCATAGTTGAAACTGAAGCCAATTTTCATACAGCAGAACAAAGCCCACACGTTTACTATAAGGAGATAATTTTAGAGACTAAAAGCTGTACTTTGTAGGCATGAGATTAGTAGGCAATTAGAGTTTTGTTATTCATCCGTTAGCAATTTAGGATAGGCAAAATACACTTGTATAGCCAAAACTATCACCTTTGTGCCACTTATAGCCAGATTTGGCGAAATACCATTAATAGCCACTTCCGTCCAATTCTTTAACGGTGTTAAAATTAAATCTGACTAGACAAACGGAGATGCTGACGTGGCGAACACTTCCGTCCAATTTTATCCGTAAAATCCACGTGGATTTAGAGAAAAAAAACCGAGAAAAAAAAAGTTCACTACAAATCTACAATCCCCAAAATCTCATCCCCACTCCCAGCACCACATCTCAAAACCCTTCCCAGACTGCCGATAGTGCCGACCATTCCCTAAATTATTTTCTTGAATTGGTTCGTTCCAGATCTGTTCCAAATCTCCAAACCTTTCTCATTCACAAATCTAATATGGGCGCATCGTTGACCACCTAGTTTAGCCAAAGAAAACTCGAAATCGAGAAGTGGCTAACTTCAACTGGCGATTTGCTGCGGAACGACAGGTGGATCCCAGATTGAGAAGCTGAAGACCCTAAAATGTCGTTCGTCGGGAGCTAAATCGTCGAAGGAGGGGACATTAGTGAAGTCCACCCAGGTCAAGCATCTCTCTGATTCCCGACCCCAAATCCGTTTCTGCGACGCGAATCGAGGCTCAGAGTTCCGTCGCTCCCTCCCTGCTCCGACGCATACTCTGCTGCGAACCCGCGGCAGGAGCTCGAATCGACGATTGACGGCGCCTTCTTCTCTGGTTCTGGTGAAGCAGAGGTAGATGGGGGTGGCGACTGGGTGTCTTGGAAGACTCGAAGGCGAACGGGATTGAAGCTGCGGGGAAGATGTAGCGAACTTGGTCGATCAGCTTCTTCTCATCCTTCCTCTCTGCGAAGCGTCGGGGAACGAGAACCAAAGGCGGAGTTGATGCTTGAATCGAGAGAGGAAGAAGCTCTCTCTAACACCAAATAGCTCAAGATTCTGGGTGGTCGATTCAACCCTAGATTGAGAAGATGTCGATTGGGAAGCTTCAAAATGGCGAGAAATTTTGGGGGAAAGCTTCAATCGCCGATTTTTTTGTTATTTGCGGGAAGTTTGGGTAGGAATCGCCGATTTAATCGCCAACAGGCAGGGAGAAAACCCTAAAAATGAAATCGGGGGAGGAAAAATTTTAATTTTTTTTCTTGTTTATTTTGTGTAAATAATAAATAATTTAAATATCTGACGTGTCACTATTTGCTTAGTTGTCGCTGACGTGTCCGCTGAATTGGCGCCTCGTCAGCCGACCGTCAAATAAGTTGACGGTGTTATTAACACTGTTATAGTTTCTAACGGAAATGGCTATATCTGGCACTCAACATCTTTCAAAAGTGGCTATTAGTGGTATTTCGCCAAATTTGGCTATAAGTGACACAAAGGTGATAGTTTTGGCTATGCAAGTGTATTTTGTCTTTAGGATATGACATAATATATTAATGTAAAGTATTATAATATAAACGCTCTCTATACGCTCTCAAAATACAATTCACAAAAAATAGACGCTCTCCCGCTCTTGCTCCCGATTCACGACTCGATAAGCTAAGGTTATACACCGCACTCCTCTTCTTTGGTCCGCCTCATGAATCTTCCGGATTCCTACCATCACATCACTTCACCACAATCCACATCACATCTACAAAACAATTCATATCCTCGCAAAGGAATTGTTTCCAACTTGCTTTTGCTGAAGTAAATGGAACGCCCATCATCATCAATTAGTGTAGCTAGTCGCTGTATCCCTGCCTTTCTCTGTGCCTACTAGGCTACTACTGTCATACAAACAAAACTGTAACAGAAGAACTATGGAGGCATTTCAGCCTGTCGCGATCTCTCTCAAGTATGAACCCATAGCAGAACGGAATAAATACACAATTACACTTGGATCTGATCCAAACAAAACCCTACCATCAAATCCTTTAAATTTAGGAATCTTTTCTCCCAAGATTAGGCAATTGCTGGCATCGGCAAACCCCCAGAACTCTTTTCAGCGAGCGCCATTAAGACAACATTGGTGCTATCAGCTAAATTTACCAAGCTCCATCTTCTTCTTTATTGCCTTTTGACTGTGGTAGATAAATGAATCCAATATCCCAGAAACCGTGAAAACCCCTGAAAAGAGAAAAATGGGTTAGTATCTAACTCCTGATAAATAAATCCAAATATGCTTTTGATAGCAAAACCATGGAAATGTACCCTGGGGCGAACAGATTATGTATTACCTCCAACTATAGCGCAAACATTGGTTAAGAAATGCAAGAACGAGACGTGCTCCTCCATGAATGTAACCTTATTAAGGCAATGGATAAGGTGGATAGTGTTAGGTGTACCAAATCTCACGATGGAATGACCCTCAGATAAAATTTAAAACACTAGCAAATATACAAAACGGAAGCCATACCTTAATTGGAGAAAGATCATAGAAGAAGAACACTCCAGGGAGGGACTGAAGACGACCAGCGTCCGCACTCCTAAAATGCTCAGTTACAGAAAACTGGGGGGAGGGGGGGACATGTTAATCTGATGCAGCAATATATCATAAATGAATGAAGGAATGATGTTTTGGGCGGTGTATACCTGATTGGATTGGATTGTATGGCCACCGACATCAGTGTACACTGTAGGTACGACCTATATTACATGCATGGAAAGTTATTCAGTGCTCGGGGGGAAATGAAAGGTAGCTAAAAGTAAAAGTTTATGAAGCAACACCTTGATAAAATACTGGTACATCCCACTTGGAGATTCTTGATTCCAATGTACACTGGATATAATGTTAACACAGAAAAACCCATAAACCAAAAAGGGCAATATAAATAAGAAACTGAACTTTTGGATCAATAAGAGAAAAGAACAAGGCAGAAGAACTTTCATTACCCATCAAGAGGATTCACAACCCCAGGAAAATATTCTCCAAAAGTTAGCCTATTGATATGGTGACTAACCTGCGCAGATTTTCATAGATGTATCGATCAACTTAGCAAATAAATAAAGCATGCTCAATGACAATAAGGGGTACCATTCTAGTTTGAACTTTCAAGGTGCATGGACAAAAGAGAAGCTAAGAAAGTACAGAATTTTTTTTCTTACATTGAAGGTATCTTTCTGAAATGCCAGGAGATCATGAACATGAACTCCTGATTGTTGAAAGCTCTTCCCTGGTGCAAAATGAAAATTACCAGCCACCTTATTAACCTCCAGAAACCCATACACATTACATCCTTCACCTTCTTCCTCTTTGATTCTCTGAAGAAAACCTTCTCTTTTACACTGGGATCACAAACAAAACATGACGTGGGAGAAAATTTGATGTCAACAACATTATTAATAGCTTGCTTCCCTAACATGAAATGTCAAATACATCCACAAACATATACAAGCATGTGTCTGCATTGAAATGTTGGGAGTTTGTTTGCATAACTAGGACTCAGTAACTAACAAAGGTCTTGCATAACTAGAATACTCATTCCACTAGCACCATTAGTTGTTATTGATAAAGAGCTGGCATAAGGCAGGCTCCAGAGTGTTGAATCAAGGGTTTGTCCCCTTGACACAAACTCATCTGGACACGATAGCATAAGAAGTTGATACTGGCTCTGTTTACATGGATGTGATGGTATGCAGTTGTTGAAAGTAGTCTTTTCTTCCCAGCTCTGATTGCGAAGGGTAGGGCTCAATCATAAAGAGCACCCCAGAATCTCCAATTCCTCATTACCGAAAATCGAGCTTTAGAGGAATATAGTCTTTCAATGAGCCAACTATCAGGAACTTTCACTGGTGACTACCACATACACACACAACTTAAGACTGCTAGTCAATCTTGACTACTCAACACAAATCCTACCACAAAACATTGAACCAGTTTGTTGGAATACAACACTCCTAGTTTAGGATTTCGACGAGGTATCTCAATCACTTTTGAACTTGACATGGAAATACGAGAATAGTTATTCATTTTGGTTTCTAATTGGAGCATATATAAGACACTAGTTCTAAGCATTGAAAGAATAAACAAGCGAATACAGACTGACATGAACTAAGTTGGCCAGACATAATTTGAATCTAGATTCTTGAGATATATTATTCAAGAAAATCACTAACAAACACACCTGGTCAATCAAATCTGGATTTGACAGCGCCCAGCCCTTCTTTCGATATGCTTCACGGACATCTTCACAAGTATTACAACAATGGTCATCTGACTGCAACATGAAAACAGTTAGAAGTAGCTTACGACCACATAGGATACACTAAACCATACGGGACTTCATAAGATCAGTATATTTTCTCAGAATAAGCACATCAACGCAGAAAAGTAACACCTATATATGTGGATTCTTATAGAGCGGTAATTGAAGGAGGCTTCTGAAAAGCAGACAACAGTTAAGCATAAATTCTACGGGGAATCAGAGGGACCCAGGTTGAAGGATTTTCTCTAGGGTGTAGAGAGGCAAGAAACCCACTTGCAATATATTGCAACTTCCAAGTAACCCTTGGCACACTTAAAAGAATGTGGGAACACTTAACACAAGTCACCATAGAGAGATTAATGATTGATGAAGTATCTATTTCTAATGCTTAAGATATCATTGATTACCTCTTCAGCACCAAAGCATGAACCACAATAAGTTTCGTTGTGCTCAAGCCTCCCACCATGTTTCTGCAAAGGTTTTTCAATCTGCAGAGAGCAACCATACCCAATCAAACACGTACCATGTGGTAAGTGGTAACGGGAACAGAAACACGTGGTTTAAGCTCTACATGCTAAAAAAGTCCAAAGCAAGCATTCTAGTTTACAAGGACGAGCTCTAGATTGCATTGGGTCAGACTGCTGTACTCCTGGAGTACACTCCAGGAGTACCCAGCGTTGAGCATCTATACACATAAATATATTAAACAACTGTACATATCAGACTACCAACCTTAGGAGCACCAATTCCATCGGGCCGTGCTTCTATTACATTGCCGTGAGAGTCGATTCTCTTCTTAATAATGTCATGTTTCTGCAGAAAATTAAAATGAGCACACCGTTGACTTGAGAATGATAACTCAAGAAATAGAGCACTTGTGTCATGTTTGACAGTAAGAAATTCACTGGCAACATTACCAAACTAGAACTTCATGAGGTTCAGTTACTTACCACATCAAGATGTTGCTCTCCGCTTATGTCCATGGCATCAAGACTTAGAATAGAGCATGGCAGGGCAGGAAAAGTGACATCAAACTGAAATTGCAGGATTGTGATAAACAAGTGAGAACTTCAGTGAGTCAAGAACAAGATCTTTTCAAAAAAGGTACCACTTCACAAGAATACCAGTGTGGCAGTGTATGTTTCAAAAAAAAGTACAGTTCAGGATGAATAAACGTATAACACCTAGACTGAACATATCAGTTCCATAACATTGCATTGTTAAAGAAAGAAATTACATTGATACGAAGAGTTTCTCCCCTTGAAGTATCGACCACGAGCTTTGTCTCAGTGACAGTATGCAAGTATAATCCTGTACAAGATGCTAGAATAGTTAGCAATCAAAAGCAAGGCAAACAATTTTTGGAGCTGAGAACAGAAAGCACAATATTTGAGGTGCGAACTCCGAACAGTTAGCAATCAAACACAAGCATAGCTCAACACCGAGAGTTTGAGGTGCGGACTCCGAAAGTATCAGATCAAAGATTGTCCTTTTGCCTATAATTACTCAACCAAAGCAACTGCAACCAGTGGAACAAGTAAAAGTTCCCCTAAATCATTCTGAAAAGGTGCCACACGCACCAATGGACGGATCAGCTTATGTCAATGTGCAGTACAAGCATAATCCTTTTCTAACTCATCAACGCACAACTAGACAGCTGAATATTAAAATCATTCTTTAAGAGACCGAAAATGAATCCAGGACGAGATTGGCGAAACAAAACCATGCTGACATTTACTGGTTTTTGGGATGAGCCATACTAGCAATTTATCAGCGAAAATCGGAGCGTTTAAATAGCGAAACTACGGGACAAATCTAAAAGCAAATGTTCATTGCAAAACAAAATAGTCCGATCCCTTTAGCGCTTAAAACCCAAAAATTGAATCCCATAAGGTAAAGTCAACTAGTTTCTGCCGCCCATTTGCAGAACAATGATAAGAACCGACATGTAAACAGCAACCATATAGTCTAAGCTAAGAAAGTATGAGTCTTGAGGATCGTGGATGAGGAATCTTAAAAAAAAAAAAAAAAAAAAGCAAGGCAGATTGAACTCACGAAGCTCCGAGATGAAAAGAAGAAGCATGAGAACCGATGAGGCGAGGGTGATAAGGCCGCCAGAAAGCGTACGACTATAGAAATCCTCGTTGATTTTCGGGTACGCATCTAAGTTCCTCAGCTTGCTCATTATCCCGTCCATTCTGAAACCCCTGAACTCGATCAATTGCGGCGTTTACCTCTAGCTACCTGCGATTGGCCTAAAGCTGTTGGCAGAATTTTCTGAAGTCACCCTAGGCGTCCAAATCAACCTAATCTCCTCCCGAAATGTCGATATTTTGGATTCAACGACTTTGGAAAATGGGGCTCGGCCGGAAATTTAACCCCAGGAAGATCAATGGATCGATGGGATTGATTGCGATTCGAACGAGGTGCTTAAAGAAGCTATTTATTTGTGTTGATGCTACCGCCGTTTCTTGTGTTTTCCTTTTCTTCATTCCGACCCGCCCATTTTTTCCCAGTGTTTTATTTTTTTTACGTAGAGGCAAAAAAAACAAATAATAATAATAGTCTTAGGGGTCGTTTGCTTCTTTTTTTTTTTGACAAAAGATAGTCTTTATTGCATTTTAACCGGTCAGATACAAAGAGACAACAAACCAACATTCTGGTTCAACAGGAAGAAGGAAAAGAGAACTCGGTTACAATCAAACCATGAAAAGCAAAAGCAAGAACAGAGAGCACAACACAGTTTGACAGCAACCATCCAACAGAAACGAACCCTTGAAAAAACCAGTACATCAGAAATCTCTCTTGCAACCAACCACTTAGAATGCAACAAGAGCGAAATCAGCTTGTCCGATCAACTCGAAATCCATGGCTAGTGATTACATCAACCATATGCCGCCTCCTGGGGATAACTCAACGGCATCCATCACAGTGAATCCTAGAAACAAGATTGCATGGCGGTGGAAAAGGATTTGAACGGATTGCTCCAAGCTGACAGAGGCAGAGGAAGCTGAGGCAGAGAAATCATGTTTGAAGCAGAGCAGAAGATCACAAAGGAGCCACAAATCTCCACGGAGAACACCGATTACCAACCACAACCACCGGAGAAGACCCGACCCTCCACGATCCGACGACTCACCCCGCAACACGAACACAAAGTGGAGGTCGGAAAGGGAAAGAAGAGAATGGTTTCATCAAAGGATGAGACCACCAATCTGGAAAAATCACCACCATCCAGATCTGGAATAGGCACCCACCAAACTGCAAACTCCGGATCCTACAACGAGCAAACCTTGAACTGGAGCACCAAGAACCGAAGGAAGAGACAAAGCTCGACGGGAAAAGAAGAGACAAAGCTCGACTGGAAAGGAAGCTGAAGGCCACAACGGCAGGGAAAAGCTGGAAATCCGAAGGAAAAACACCTAGAACAAGGCCAGGAATAACATGAGCACAAAGAAAAAAAAAAAAAAAAAAAAAAAAGGAATGGAGGGTTTGAGCTGCCGCCGGTCACCAAAAGGAGCCGGCGGCAGCCCCTGGAAAAAGAGGGTTTTGTAATTTAAAAACTCAAGGATTTATCAAGGATTTGAGGCATCATGGATTTGTAACAATCCTTTGTTTGTCGGGATGTTTTTATCATGGATTTAAAGATGTGGGATTTACTACTTGAAGTAAAAAATTACATTACTACCCTTTTCTATATGTTTGACATGTTTATGATATGTACACAAAACAAGGACAAAACTTCAAAATGACCTTACTATCATTTTCTATATATTTGACATGTTTATGATATGTACACAAAACAAGGACAATACATACTAATAAGTATAATGTTGCCACATGGACAATAATAATAAACGAGAAAATTCCGTTTTAACTTTTAACGTAACATAATCAATTACCAATTCTTTGTCCTCCTTTTCAAAAGTGACATATAACAACATATATTAGAATCGGGAGAACAAAGAATTACACGTTCCATGAAAAGGTCAAAGAAAACTAGAACACAAGAAATGATATAAAAAATCTAACTCATGTTTGCACATTAATTGAACGTTTATATTATTCATTTATTGTTAATTATAATGTATAATAGTTAAATTTGAGGGCAACCTTGGAATATTAAAAGTGCATGAGGGTATATGGGTAAAATCTCATCAAGGATTTATGCCATATTCCAAATCCCACATCAACATGTGGGATTTATAAGTCCGTGGGGTCCACGGATTTGGACCCTTAAAATCCGTGGGCCCCACGGATTTGGTCTCCAAAAAAGGTGCAAGCAAACAATGGATTGTACCTAAATCCTTGATAGTTGGTTTTTTGGTACCAAATCCATGTACCAAATCCTTGAAGCAAACGACCCCTTACTCTCTTAGACCATCCACAATATGGGTAAGAGGGAAAAGTAGGAAAATAGAGAAAAGAGTCTGGAGGAAAAGGTTTTGGTCTCAATATGGCGGTGGAAAAAGTGGGTAATTGATTTAATATTTTTTTGCTAAAATCAATTTATAGTTGATCATCATTTTATTTTTATATAATGATACTTATTGTTATGTATTTAGTGATAATTAATTAATACGAACATTTTGATATAATTTTTTTTTAATTTTGACATAATTTTTTCATTACTAATTAAATATAACGTCATTGATTCTATCTGTTGCGAATAAAACCAATTAAAACATCTCACAATAAATGAAATTAAAAAGTAAACTATGTGTGAGCACCTCCCCCTTCCTTCCCCCACTATTTGTCTGCTAGTAGGGATAACCCCCTCCCCCCCTCTTTCCCCTTTGAAAAGCGGTGAATGCATCACCGTGATTGACTGCTGTGGTGAATGTCTGACCTAATACTGAAACTTCAAACGAACGTAACTTTGTGCTCGGTTTTCCGATGTAGCAAAAATAAAAAAAAAATTTGATTCCACACAACTTTTCAAGATCTTTCAATCTGCAACATAGCATTCCTCCCAAAAAAATGTCGCTTGCTACCCCGAACGAGCAATTTTTTGATTCCGAAAAATATTGGAAGGCCATAACTTTGTGCTCCGCAATCCGAATGTCATGAAACTTTTTTTGATTAGCATAAATTTTGAAAGACTATAACTTTTAGGGTATGCCTACTATGACATGCATGTCACGGTGACATGCACTTTTCGGTCGACCTATTCCTGAAGGCGGTCGACCGAATTGACTAATTTGGGCAGCACGAGAAAGCGTTGCGGTCGACCGCCACGACCACCTGGTCGACCGCACTTAGTTTAAGTTGGTATTTTTGGTCGACCAGAATAAAACCTCGGTCGGCCATTTCGTTGGCGTCAGAAACAACATGGTCATCCACCTAATATATAGGTCGACCACTTGATGGCAGTCATTAACAAAATGGTCGACCGGATAAGGAAAGAGGTCGACCAGATAGAAGATAAGTGTTCTATCAAAGTGCCCAATCATTTGACGTAAAATGAAGATCAAGTGTTGGTTTCTCGGTCGACCTAATCCGGTACGAGGTCGACCGAATACAAGAAAGTCAACCTATGCCCCGTGTCTTTTTTGCTTATGTATGTCGATTTGTGTGGTTAATTTAATCGTATAAATTATGTTTCAAACCATCATAATTAGTCATTAATAATTATAACAAGGACTCATTAATTCATAGCATAACAACTAAAAATAAAACAGAAATCATAATTGTTCACACATAAAAATAAAACTAAAAAAACAACAGAATAACAATCAACAATCGTTTTGAAAACTAAAACACACAATATAAAATCTCCTCTCTCCTACTCATCTCCCCCCTCTCCCTCATCCACATTTTCTTCATTGGTGGTGGTAGCATGATGGTGGTCGGATGTGGTGGGATGCATGTATCTTCCGCTGAAAGATCGCCACTCATCTCGCATCTCATTCACGGTCACCTGCATTGTGCTCATCTGGGCGGTCATTTGCCCCATGTAGTCGTACATGCCAGTCATCTGGGTGGACATCTGGCCCATGTACTCGTACATGCCATCCATGCGCTCCCACACACGCTGTAAGGTGATCGGCGGAGTTGAAGTCTGTGCCTCCGCCATTGGCTCGTCTCGAGCTCCTTCATCACCATCATCATCCTCATCATCATCATCATCATCACCACCATGAGCAATGTTTGCTCTGACATACTCACCATTACGCAGCTCAAAACCCATCTTTTTCAGAGATGAAACAGTATAGAACTCCTGCCTTGAGATCGTTAACCCCACCTCTTCACTTAAATTACATTAAAATACTCAAATATCACAGTGAGGATCATCCCATAAGGAAGATTCCTGTTTGAACTCTCTGCAGCAGTAAGCATGTGGTTAAAGATCAAGTATGGCAAGTTCACCTTCTCGTTTAACAGTAGGTTGGTGAGGAGCTCCATGTCGAAGTAGGTGACTGTCTCCCGATGTCCACCCTTTGGCAGAATGTTGTAGGAAAGCATGTGGTGAAGAACTCTGGCTTGAACTGTCAGGTGGTTACTCGATGGCCTATTGCGCCCCTGAGCATCTTCCTCTTCATCAAGACCACATACCGTCTGGATTTGCTTGGTTCTCGTGAAATGCGTTTCATTCCAAGCACCGTAAGAATTGATTCTCCTCCCATCGTTTGGAGCCTCCAGTACTTGCGCCAACACATTCTTGCTGATGCGCATCGCCACCCCATTCACATAGGATTTGAATGCGTGAATGGATCCATTTGCATTGCGCTCGTAGACGATGTTGTTGTAGAAGTATTGTACCATTTTTGGGTAGTATGGTACATTGAGTGATATCACCTTTAGCCACTCCTGCTCGATGAAGGGTCCCAGAAACCCGTAATTCTCGAAATGAGAATACGCATCCGTCGTCAATGGCCTTCCCGGAGCCACCCTGCGGTTGTGCATGCTCTTCTCTTCGTAGTTCTCACTTTGCTCCTTCGTCTGGAACATATTCGAATTGATGTCTTCCCATTCCGAACTTGAGGCAGCAGCTTTTTGTGCCTTTCTTTTCTTTCTGCCGCCAACCTGCGATCAAACAAGCAAGAATACACGTTAGTCACATTTTCGAAATGAACAATACGCGGTCGACCACTCCATAAAGCGGTCGACCGCAATTAATTTAAAACGACAATGGGTCGACCTCAGAAGAATCATAGGTCGACCTCAGTTAGTTTAAAACGAGAATAGGTCGACCTCAGAAGAAGCATATGTCGACCTCAGCTAATTTAAAACGAGAATGGGTCGATATAAACCCGTAACAATTCAAGTACAAAATTGCTACCAATTGAGTGCAAAACAAATCCGGTCGACCTCATAATTAGAAGAGGTCGACCAGTGTTAGTTTCGCACAAATTCAAAGACAATGGCACAAATAACTCGCACTTTTGCCTTCATAGGTCGACCTCAGAACCATCATAGGTCGACCTCGGCTAAATTGAAACGAGTATGAAATGGCCCAAATGATCGTACCAATTGAGTGCAAAACTGATCCGGTCGACCTCATAATTAGAAGAGGCCGACCAGTGTTA